ATAAACACACACAAACACATATATATTGCATCTTGCTCTACATGGAACACATGCTGAATGGAAACTAATGCCTAGAAAGAGAAAAAAGAAAGCTGAGAAAAAACTTACTATTGCCATTCACCAGTTGCTTTGGCATGGTTCTCGGAAGCATGGTATAGTCGACCCAAACTATACAACAGTAACCCAAACCTACATTCTGCATCTTTAACCTGCAAATGAATGAAAAACGTAAACATTCTCATTGTGCTCTCAAGATAATAAAGCAACGTGCTGAGAAGTAAAATAAGTCCTTCCTTCTCTCGTGATATTGTGTTTGCCTTTTTGGGGAATGGAGAAATATCTATGTTTGAAACACAGGTAGTTGATCAATAATCCTACTCTCAAGAAGAGAGCCAGGATCATTATTACAAGTTCAATATTTTCATATTGCGGGAGACTGTCCAGCCCTCAGAAGGAAAGCTGAATCATTTGGACAAGTTCTATGTTTAGCCATTTTGTAGAAAATTTGGATGGTAAAACAAATTTGGCGACCAAATTAATTAATTTTTTGGCAAACAGTTTGTATAAACAGAGAAGGAACATGTTTGAGAGCCAACAAGTAGATTGAGCTCCTTACACGTCCTTGATCGACAAAACTCTGGTATTGCATAATTGCTTTCTCCACCTCCACAACTAGTAGTCTTCTCTGAAGCCGAGCAGCTCTCCCCTTACCTTCAGCTCTAGAGTCCTAATTGTCATAATCAGTAAATAAAATAGTCATTTTTTAAAATATAATTTAGATAGAGTAATATAATTCCGCTCTATAAAATTAAAAGACTTGTAACACAACCAGAAAATAAAAAAGTGTAGCTATAAGAATTACATATATATTCGATCACCCAAATGAAAATGGATATTACTCTTAAATAAAGTCAGTCATGCATGTCAACTCAAGCAAGAATGAAAGAGGTAGGCTGTAAGACGAAAGAAAATCTCTAGAAACCCACAGTTTCTGTTGAGGAAATTTCAAGTTAATTTTGAAGTTGACTTTAAAAACAGCCAGTGATTTTAGTTCACTTACCTGTTTGTACCAGGCGCGCAAAAGCATCAGCAAAAGAAGTGAGAGAAAGAATGCAGGCAATGCAGCTAGAACAGCGAAATTGATTTCATTTGCCTTGAGAATCTGGTCGAGCTCAAGCATTGCCCTATTTAAAAACCATCAAAATATAAAGCCATGGGACATGAAACCAAATAAGGAAGATCAAGATACACAACGTATTGCGAACCAAAAAATGCAAGCTTTTGAAACTTACGTCTCAATATCCAATTTTAGCTTCTGTACCTGCATCAACACAAAGCAAAAGATATCAGTATGATGTACGGGTACATATGGAGGGAATAATTGAACATGTAACAACCTGGATAAGCAAAGCACGGGCCAACTCTCCACTAAGAAGGTTTTGAATGGGATGCATCAGTTCTTTCTCATACCTAAATTTAAGGAAACAATGGATATCAATCATCAGTTTATTGCAATGTTCTTTTCCAATGAAACATGATTTCATAAAGTTAGCGTTAATATAAGAACAGTTATGAAGTTTTTAAGCGAAATCTCGGCTAGAATTAGGAAGCAACAAAAAGAAAAACATTCTCCTAAAACACAAAGGTTCTTTGTAGAACTTTCTGAAAATTATTGTGTATTTCTAGCCAAGCATGCCACATAACAGTTCTAATGGCATTTAGCCAAAGGAGTGTTGCCGTTCCCTTTATATATCCAGTAAACAAGCTGTACAAACATGGCTTTACTATTTTAGAAAATAGCCAATCTAACCCCTAAACAACCTAGTTATCTTCCAACAAATTTGCAGAAGAAAAGAACATGGAAAAAAAGGTGTCTGATGTCAAAATCACATTAGAACAGCCACATGGAGAGAGCAAGAAAGTAAGAGGAAGCATGCATGTTGCTGAATGTTGACAAAGCTGTCGGTGTAAACTTCAATATAAGGGCCAAAAGATGTGTCCCATGCGATTAAAGGAGTCGTTAGAAACCCAAGAGCAGAAAGTTGACTTTGAGACATAATACACGGAGCGACACTGGTAGATGTTCACATCAATGACTTGTCGACATCTGCCAATGCACTGATTACAGAATCAATAGAATCAAGAAAAACATGGTCCAAAGAAGATCCAATGACACTGATTATGGGAAATGGCAGCCTTCCTGACAGAGCTCAACAGTATATAAAACTAGAAACAAGATAAGTAAGATAACCTGGCCATAACAATTGCAAGCATTTCTTGATCCGATGCATCATCTGGGAACTTCTGGCCTTTCGTGTGTTCACTGAAAGCAAGCAACATTCTGGAAAGAAGAGGATGATTGCTTAATAATTCTTGCATTTCCAAATAATAACATATGGATATTGCTGTAAATTTAGTACTTGAATGAGAATTTTTTTTCAAAATAGTTTCATTTTTCAGAATTTAAAATTCAATGAAAGACATTTTGCAAAAATGTTTTTTCACAAATTACATGATCCACAAAACAAATGAAAATTTTCTTTCTTCCAAAATTATGGGTTTATGAATAGTGGCTTCAATATCCATGGCAATATAAACCTTTATGGTAGATCACAATTCTTTAAAGCAGTTTTGGAAACAAAATCGGAAAAGTGCTGAACTAAGAATTTCCCAAAACAAACTCCCAATCTTTATTTTTCTTTTCTTTTTTTTTTTACGAGAAACCAAACCTAATCTTTATCAATTATTAGTCTAAAGTAAAAGTCAATGGGCAGGGAAGAAAATATCATGTGGAAAGAATAAAAGTTAACTAAATGTCATCAACCTCCATCATATTGACACAGGTCATACTCATCCCAAATGGATGAGTAAATAGGGGTTGTTTGAAAATTGTTTTTGACATAGTTTTATGTTATTCGGAACAAAAATTCTTTAAAACATGTTTGGATAATTGTCTTTTAAAAGTTATTTTTTCTTATTTTCTAATAGTGTGGGAAATAAATGACCTTTTTTCAGGAAAACAAAATTGAAGTTGTTTTTCCGTTTAAAATCACAAATTTATAAATAGGGATTTCAATGTGCATTAAAAGATTAAAACAATTTTATAAGGAGTCCCCAATTTTAAAGACCTTACTTGAACTGGATTTGTTCCATAGGTTTTACCTCTATGTCCTTGAGTTCTAAGAAGTCCCCAATTTTATGATTAGAGACACCAATTAAGAAGTGCAAGATGGGCATTTCTCATGATAAAGTTAAACTAAGAGCTCAAAGTAAATAGTTTAGTCCTCACTTGGAGAAAAATCAAGTATATGAAAGACAATCAATCACCTGTGCAGCGAGGTAGCAGTTAACTGAAGCTCTTCAACCTCCATGACACCTTTATGCCTCTTTCTAAATGTATCAAAGAGTTCGTCTCTTATGGAAATAAGCTGCAAAATAGGGAGTAAGAATATCAACCATTAGTAATCAATCATTATTAAGTTACATTAATGTAGAATTCGTTGATGCACCCTAGCATGGGCACCAAACCCTGTTTGTAGGAGCTGCCATAACTAACTAATCACTAACAATAAGAAACTACGCAACTATGCAGCAACTAATATAATAGTAATTAACCAAACACTGATAGTAATCTATTTTGGGGAAGCGGAAGCGTTAGGTAGACAAGTTTTTTTTTGCTATATGGATCACCTGGCTAAAAATAAATAAAATTAAATTTGAAGTCTCTCAACTCAACGGCAACATTAAAGATCCCTGACCCCTCCAAGACCCCAATGATCATCATCATCATGCCCAAAAAGATGTCATACTACATAGTTGGTTCTCATCTTTCAGATACTACGAGTGTAATAGGAGCATCCGTCGACCGAGCTCTACCCATAAATCCTTTATAATGAACACGTACCACCAATGATTGGTCATCATGCATAGAGAATTTAATAGGGAAGGAATAAATACCCTCAATCATCTCCTCCGACCAACAGTATTGACTTATCCTGAAGAATTAGGTTACTTCTAAGTTGACTTGAAGCCTTGACAGTAACCTAACCCTTCCCTCAAGCTCCACCGACTAAAACTATATTTCTATCCACAACTTAAGCTAACGTCCTATAAGATTACAATACAATGATTTCCCTTAAAATAGACTCTTCTAAGTCTTTAACCACTTCTCTTTTCCTCATTGGTTCAAAGGCATGATCATTCTACTCAACCATTCATACTGAGAAACGAAACATCCCTTCTTACAATTTATAAATGAAGAAAGATCCATTGTGACATGAAGAGAGACTTCAAAGTTATTTAATTCCTAGTTTTTCTTTTTCCTGAAATGTACTTAATTCCTAGCCGGTGCATCTCATGTAAGCAAATTTTGGATAAAGCTCATTCTTATGTTGGCTTTTCTATCTATTGCCCTGAATGGCTTAGTAAGTCTGTCTTTCTACTCCTAATAAGAAAAAGTAATTAAAGACCTAACCCAAGAAAAAGAAACTACAATGGTAAAGAAAATTGACAATAGAGCTCCAGATCATCAAATGGGACAAAGAAAATCAAATCAGCTTAGTAAAAATAATACCGGTTGTTCTACATGGTCCTTGAAAAAGCTAGCTGCTGAATTATGTGCTTCACGAACCCAATTCTCAAGGTCATGGCTCCCCATTAAGCTACTATGTTGAAGAAGCCAAACAGAACACACTGAAAGACCAATTACACCACAAGTATATCCAAGCCAGTATTGAGTTAGTTTCTTTGGCTTTCGATGTTTGAAAACCTAAAAAATAAAAGATAGGTGCACATCAATACTTCATACTATGGTAAGGAATAATACAACAAGAAGCCTCATGAGGAAAACACATAAATCAACTCTGCTTAGTGAAGAGGATCCATAGACTTACGAATTAGGCTCCTGTTTGATCGTGAAGACAGGATTTATTTTATTTTGACGCTTGTGTTTGTCTTAGTAAAATTATGGCTCTTATTATGAAGTTTTTGACAAGTTTTGTCCATTAGTTCTGTTTGTGAAGTCAAGGGTTGCTGTTTTGGAATATTCATTTTTTTACAAGAAACTGGCAAAATATATTCAAAAGAACCCCCCGGAGAGAAGGGAAAGACAACCAGCTTTCATTTTGAGCTCACAGGGCAGGCTATGATCATTAATAATAATCCCTTTCAAAACAATACATGATAAAATAATCTTAAATTTATATACTGTTTGCATAAAGGTGGAATTCTAAATTATCAAACAGCTTTAAAAAGTGGTCATCGTCTTCCCTTTGATTGAGAATTTGTGGCCAGAGGTTCAAACAGTTGAAACAGATCAAATTAGAATTATTTTGATTCACCAAACTATTCGAGGGTGCAAAATCAAAAGTAATAATAGGAGCATCAGAAATGAGATCTTACGAGAAAAGATATGAAAGAGTCCAACTTGTGAAGGTTCTGATAAAGCAAGTTGATGGCGTCTCCAATTTCACAACTTGTCCACTGAGATCCCTCCTTATTCACATCTGGTAATTTTTCAAATAGTGGAAATAAAAAGCTGCCATCGATAAAATCCATCTGCATAGTTGTATACAAAGTAGACATTGGGACTTGAAACGTGAAATTGGAATGCATTCTGCTTCAGCGTTTTTAAGCAATAAATTTACAAATAATCTCAATGTTACATGATATGCTGCATGCAGTTGACAAATGGATGCCTCTAGATTGAGAAATAAGCCATTCATTGTAAGCAACAATGAAGGCAAGTGATTTTCTGGATCATTCACCGCTTCTGCCCCAATTCTGTCAATTTCTATGAAGACCTACAAGAACCATGACAGAACAAAGTCAAAATAAGCCAAAAATAATTTGAGAGAGCTAAAATTTAAATGTTCATCAGTTAAACCGTCGCAGGAAGGAAAGGCAGAAAGAGAGGGTGAGGAGAAGTTCCCTTGTGATCAGCAAGCATTCATTATCGTTGTAAAGCCCTTGAAGTTTCTCGCTCATTACCACCCAAAAAGTTTCTGAAAAATTATTTCCATCCAACAGCTCCCAAGTATTTAAAGGCCACTTTAACACTTTTTTGTAAGAAACTATTTAATTGATATTTCATTATTGATGGATGCAACGAGGTGAAGGACCAAAGGAGTTAGAAAAATATTTCCAACTGGTTCAAAACTTATGACTCCATCCTTGAAGATTCGTCTACTCTACCCAGTCCAAACTGCTCAAGGGAGCCCATCAAAACCATTCAAAGCTACATATGTTGTCTACTTGAAGCGGTAACCATAAAGTCCTTGCAAGTAAATCCTTAAACCTTAGCAAACTAAGAAGGGGGAGGTTAAAATGAAACACCTTTATCAGTTTTTTCCACAGAATAAGTGCCTCTGGGAAAAACAAAAGAGATGGACTGCATCTTCCATATCCCTTTCATATGGTAAACACTACTTCAAGTCGAGATAGAAATTTGGGTATCACTCCTCTATTTTTGGCGAGACCACCTCAAGAAAGGGCATGTGAAAACACCGTTATTAAATCCAATAGGAGAGGTTAATCTATTATCTCCTTTGGCCATTAAATGGGAGGATTTTTTGTTTTCCCCTTTCATATTTGACCTCTTTGAGAAATCATGTTTCCTACCTAAAAAAATTAGAATAAAGAAAATAAAAGTTAAGAGAACATTATATGATTAAAGAATAGAGCTATTTAAGAAAACATTGTCTCAGAAGCCTATAAAGAAGCCAAAAAAGGCTCCAAATCTGATCTCCAACTAATTTTCCAGTCTCACTGGTCCATATCCAGGAAGTGTGCGTGTGAGAGAGAGAGGGAGATAGAAGTGAGACTCAAAGGAGCGACTAACTTTTCAAGGATAGAATAAAACCGCAAGAGAAATAAAATTGTGTTTGAAAATTTGAGTGCTGAGAAGGTCAATCAAACCTGAGCCACAAAAACTGCAAGATGACATCTTAAGTTACTCAATATAGTTATCCGGTCGGCTATGTAAACAGATGCATCACGAGCTTGATGTTGTAAAGAAAAACCATCCGTAAAACTTTGGCGTATTAACTGCACTGTTCCACTGAAAAAAGCCCGTGGACCTCTCTCACAAATCAGAAAGTAAACTTTTTGAGCATTTGTACCCTGAAAATTTCATGAAAATAATGGCATAAAACACACAACCAAAATTTAACAGGCATTAGAAAGATAATAATCATATGCTTTTCATTAAAAAGTTATTGAGCTTAGTTAATTGAAAAGGGACCGACAGATCTTTCATCAATAATGAGGTAATAACTTTTGACTAGAGGAAATTCTCATTGTAGTTCCTTCATATTCTTTAGATTCCAATTGAATTTGTTCCTGAAGAGTTGGTTTAGAATGACAAGGTGCCAAAAAAAGGTTCAACTTCTCCAGGAGAATTGCAAAATGATCATTACTGAAGATATGTTGCAAAAGATCCTTTATTATCATTTTTTTTCTTTTAAGAAATTGAGCTTACATTAATACAAATGAAAGAATGTACAATGCATACAAAAAAATCAATCTTACAAAAGGAAGTCAAGTCTGGAGCTCCAATCCAAAAGAATAACACCTAACTAATAATTACTTAAACTCCTATCCAAAAAAATAACACTTAACTAATAATTACTTAAACTCCTTAGTAACAGAAGCTCACGAAGAAGTATTCAATCTTATAAGCTCCAAGTAGCCTCCCAAGACCTCTAAAAACTATATTGTTTCTCTCAATCCAATACCCCATGAAATGTAAAAAAAATAAGCCTGCCAAAAAATTTTACCCTTATCCTGAAAGGGGATACAACAAAACCTCTGACACCATCACTCTGCAATCTCTGTTTCTCGCCCCAGAGATTATCAAAGACTCCAAAAACTGCCCCCAAATCGACTAAGCAAACTTTCCATTCTAGCATCTTCGTACACATACACGAAGATTTCATCATTGCTCCTAACTACTTTTAGGGAGACACATTCTTCTCAGTTTTTTGGTATATTTTGGGTGAACAGAACTGAAACCCCTATATATTGATTAGATAGAGTGGAAGATGCTAGAAGCATGAGGAGGGACAACTAGAGTATCATTGTGATAATCTAATGTTGCATGTTGAAAATATACTTGGTAATGGGTCTTTTGAAGACACTCGAAAGACAAACTTAAGTGTACCAAAATTTCCTTCCGGGAATCTCTGTACACATAAAATAATTTATTAAAAGGACTAGGCAACAAAAGACTAACCTCCGCACGAGATTGCCAGAATTGCAAGTTCTTCCAAATGTTATGCAAATTCGAGAAACAGTGCTCCAAAAGATCGCCCAAAACATCATACAGCCTAGATGCCTCTGCTGGTTCCCTGCCTGTTACTGTTAAACTGTTTGCAGTTTCCATGAACCAAGTAAATTGAGCAGACATCCATTTGTCAACAAAGTATGTATATGGCATAAAAATTATATTCCTCGCAATAATCAGATAGTTCTGACATGAAGTATCATTGAATTTTATCACATGTTACATATGTCACAATGTGCATCAACTGATGCAAAAGATCCCCAACAATCAACTCAAGCTTTAAACACAAAAATCAATGTGAAGAAAATATATAGAATTAACTTTTTGACTAAATGTAAGTCCTAATCGTGCATCTATATTTATTCTCACATGAAAATTATGCTTTTAATTAATAGAGACTAACTATTCCAATATGTTATACAGAAATATAAACATTGGACTTGATTTTATGTAAGAACTTACAGTCATGAAAGGAGACAGATTGTAGGTGTAAAGTCTGGAATAAAACTTCACATTCATGAAACCCAAAATATTAAGTGTGTCCTCAAGATTCAAAATAGGAAAAATAAATAAAATAAAAATAAAAACCCCAAGTATTAGCACTAATACGTTATCTGGTCCAAAAAGTTTACCAAAATTGTAATGTTTCCATGGATTTAACAAAATGAAAACAGTTGGTCTTGTATGCTCAATAAAATAGAAATATTCAGTCCATTTGGCAGAATATGATTGACTGAATTTTACTAACTTTCAATGAAGGTCTGCTTTTATTATCGAAACTCCCTCAATAAGTTACATTAAAATTATAAAGTTAGAATTATAGTCTAAATGATTAGCGCAGATGGCAGTGGATTTATAAATAATCTCTCTTGCGGGTAGATAGCATTATGACTTGAAAGATAGGCGCAAGATGCCAAAACAGATGAAAGCCAGGTTACAAATAAAATGGGCAATGGACTTTCCAATGATCCCGCTTGCCTTTTGGCAAATAACAATCTGTTGAGATTAATAATGATAAAAGTTCGTCTCAATCCTCTAACACCTTCACCAGATGTTGACCAAACTGTCTCACAAATTTTTAAACTCAGTTCACGTAGCTTCACCACAGCAATAAAGTTAATAACATTCTGTTGATGTTTAAGCCAATATTATTTGTATCTAATTTTTTTATAAGAGACCATATACTCATATCAAAATGAATAAACAAAACAAACTAACATCAGGGCGGAGGAAATGCCCATGAAATAAACCTATTACATATAAAACCTTCCAATCAAGGTCGATCAAGAGAAACAAGGTGGTCAACGAACAATTTTCTGTGTGAAGACACTTCGACATGAGGCTATATAATGAAAAAAGTCATAAAAACTACTATGGTTATTGTATCTAATTTGAGTTCACTCGTCGGTATTCACTATTCATTTCCCCATCAATGAAATTGTTTCTTATGAAATAAAAAATCCCCAATAGCTAGCAACCAATTATAGAGGCAAACCTTATTAATCACCTTCAATCACCAGATGGTCTGGATACTAACTTGAGAAGAATTCAAAGCATCCAACAATAAATTAAGATTTGGTATAAGAAGACCCAGACAGACCAAGCTTCTAAATTATTTTTTTCAAGCAAGAAGGGTTAATAAAATAAGTAAACCAAGAAGTAGAGAGTACAATGTAATGGATATTAGTAATCGAGGACAACAGAAACGTCTTCATAATGATCAAAGCGAATATGAAAACCTGAGGCCTTGATTACTAATATCCATTATATTGCACCAACCTACTTCTTGGTTTACTTATTTTATTAACCCTTCTTGCTTAAGAAAACCCAAGGTTCAACTCGGTAGGAATTTCTGTCATTGGGGTGGTCACTGGGAAAATTTCTTTAGGGAACATACATCATCGTTGCTTTGGCCTTTACTTCCCGTGAAAATTTAAATTAAGGAAATCAATTTCCATTTCGCCCGGCACTACAGAGTGAGGACTCGTGTCATTAAAGATAAAAACAATTGCAACTATAAACCGCATAACAAACATGCATTTCAACAGAAGTAATGATGCTATATATTACAACTTACAAGCAAAGACGAGGAGTACAATCGAACCAAATCTCCTCCATTCTTTTTCCTTCCTCATTGACAATAATAATTCTACACGTATTTGGCTAAATCTAACAAACCAGTTCCACCGAGATAAAAGTGACTTACAGGGAAGAGTTTGTCGAGTACAAAGGTAGAGGAAGAGGAAGACCAGTCTTACGTCTCCTCCGGCGAAGGAAACTCGAAAGTTTCCAAAGAAAATTGGAATCGCGAGATGAAGGGAAAAATGCTGCAATTCGGTTCCATAAACGAAGGGAGTGTAATGAAATTGAGGATCCGATGCCCTTGTCTTCACTTTCTTCGGGAGCTACCTCCATTGGAGCTGTGCTTCACCTCTCCGCACTGAGGCAGCGGGTACCTTCTCGTTGTTTTGTAAACTTGGAACTAATTTTACGCGCTCTGTCTTTTTTCTTCCTTTGCTCAATGGCTTGGGTTTTATGAAAGTCAAATGGGTTTCGAGTTTACCTTTATTCTTGTAAGTCGCAAGTAACAATGACAATTGTCCACTTGGCATTCTGTCTTTAAATATAAGGATCCAATTAATTAAAGTTTTTTTTAAAGGCTTCTCAACTTTAAAAACACATCTTTGTAAAAAATAAAAATAAATAATCACAGACGTGGATTTTGGTCCATCGGCAATTGACGATTTTGTACCCAGGCAGTTGGTTGGATTTTATCAAAACTTACCCAAAATTGAGCTTCAGGTGAAGTAATTAAAGAATAAGAAAAACTAGCGAGAATGAGATGCAAATCAAATGGAATCTACGATTTAACATCAAAAAATGAGAAGATAATGGGAGGGAGAAGAGATAAAGATAGACGAAGAGAGAAAGGGGGAAGAACATAGACTATAGAGATGGGAATAGGTGGGAAAGAAGAAATAAAAATAAAGTGAATTTACTTGTCACTCGTTTCTCAAAGTGGTTTTTGTACACTTCAATCTTGTTAGGTTTCTTTTTATTAAAATAAGCTAATATTACCGACCGACCGACTCGAGTCGCTCCCTCAAGATTCATATCTCATGCTCAAAAAATATGGTATTCATACCTCTACACTCTTTTACGAGGAGTTGGGTTCAAATCATGATGTTTTTAATAAATAATTACGAGTTAGAGAAATCTCAAACGTGAGTTTTAACGAGTACTCATCCTCTTATCTTTCATCTACGATTTAATATTCTTAAAATGAGAAATCCAAACTTCAATCGGATCTTATGTATACATTCTAACTAGTTATTTGTGGGTTACCACCTAAATCGATCAAAATGATTAAAAATATTACCTAAATGGTATATGTTAAAATGATTTCTAATCAAAATGTGTCATTAATAAAAATGTTCTTTGAACATTTGAGGATGGCAAAATGAAAAATCCATGAAAATTAAGAATAATACCAAATTTTTTAAAAAATAATTAATAAAAACCATGCAACAGAAAATCAGGCACAATTCTAATCAGAACATCATTCACTTCAACAAGTCCAAAGCAGTATGATGATAAACATAATATTTGCATTTAGTACAGTAGAATGAGAATAAATATACCAAGATCTCTCTAAGAAATTGTTTGAAGATTATTTCTACAACTGTAAACAAATTTTAAAAAAAGAAGATTAATTCATAAGAAAGAGACAAATTTCATTATGGCCTAATAAAATTTACAAATTTCTTTTGGACGGTTGTACGAACTACGTAGAAACTGGATTAAACACTCGTATATATTTGAAAAAATAAATCACTTTCAATGAGAATTAGAAAAATTACTCGAAACGAACAGAAAATGGGGGAGTAAGAAGAGGATTGGTGAAGACTAAATTCCAATGCAAACCAATGACTTCCATGATTGGCACAGGATGCACACTAACCATGTACAAACTCCAGGACACAATCCTGCAAAGGTTTTGATTCCAAAAAGGTCTACTGATAAAACTAGAGATTCTGTTTCCTAACTATACATTCTCATCTGCTGTTACAACAACACTATCCAGCACCTACTCCATCTATTTTCATTAGATAAAAATAAAATAAAATAAAATGGCTGATCTAAAGAAAGTTAGCGGCCAAGAGGTAGAGAATGATGTTCCTTTGCTAACCTTCTTCATCATAATCTTCCTCGTCGTCTATAGTCTTGTTCAGATTGGCTAATTGAATTGGATCAATAGCCATCTTTTCCATATCAGCCACTGACCAACCAGGGTATTCATCATGTTTTGTGTCGGTAGGGAGCTTTGCAGGTGAACCTGTAGGAGCAGCCACTGCAACTGTAGTCGAGTCCCCGTCTTCGTCCAAGTTTACATTCAAGTCGAAGTTCCGAACTGATGGTTCTCCAGCTTTGTCACCAGGGATATTTCCATTCCCTATTCGAATTTCGGCTACACCGTTACCTGGCACTGTTTTGTTGAGCTTGTCACTGGGATGATTAGGAACTTCCAAATCATCTTCGAAGTTCTCATAATGCATGGCTGTATCCTTCTCCACATTTCTACTACTTCGCCCGCGACCTCTGCCTCTGCCCCTACCCCTTCCTCTGCCACTACTACTATGACCCACCTCTGCCTGCAACAGAGAAGAATGGCAAAGAAATGAGCAATATACCAAAATCTTTATATATATGGTTTTTGTTTGCCCAAAGTTACAAGTTTATTAAGCAAAAATTCCAAATAACAATAGTTCAATAGCATCCTCTTGAATTTGTGTTGTAGACAGCATGGAGAAGTCGTGTACAAAAGGAGAGAGGAAAAGAAAAGGAATTTATCTCTCAGGAAAATAAAAATAACCTCCCCGTTAGTAATTAAAAAGTTACAAAAGGAAAGTTCAGTATCACACCATACTGCCACGTATAAAACTGAAGTAGCATGCAATTTATCAATATGAGATCATCAAGAGGTATGCTTTCAATGTATGAAGTAAAGAAAGAAATTGGAAACTTGAACTGAGAATTATTGCCTAAAACAATTGAACTACAAAACGTACATGACCGGCAGCCATAACAAATAGAATAGCAAAGAAGAATGTATGGCAATTCAAATTCATGACAAATAACCATATCAAACAAAATACAAGATTCAAAAGCTCTTTATAGGAAAATAAGGTGTATACCTACTTACTTCCTGTCCCTTTTTAAAATCCCAGTATCTGTGAGCAAGAGCTTGGAGAAAATTATATCATCACTTTCTTTAATCGTTGCAGCTTTTGTAATCATCTATAGCTTGCTTAGGAATTATCTTCAATCTTATCAATCAAATTAGAAACGTTAAAAGTGTAAATTTCATTTCAACTCATCTTTGTTCGGTTAGACTTTAGAGCTATTCTATGACACCTGATAAAGTTTAAAATGGCACCACAACAGGTTTCGTTTAAAATTATCTATGGAATTTGAGGTTTATTAATTCAGATTTTCAATCATTTCTTTCTTTTCTCTCTCTATCTCCTATAAGGCATGCCAGTCAACTCTTGGAACATTTTCCCTTTTTTTTATAAAGTTCCCTTTTGTTCAGACCAGATCTATGAATTAGTAACACGATTACATGTTTGAAGACAATTCTCACCATCTTACTCCTTTTGGACTCTTCTTCACTATCATTATCATCTTCATCTACAACTTTCCTGGACCAAAAAAAAACATACCACAAATACTATTAAACACGAATACTTTATATTACTTCACTCAGAACAACTAGAGCATTTGACTTCCGAACCTTCTTTTGGAAATAAAACGGTCCTCCCCAGCAGCATCAGAGCCGCCCAAATCAGGGACCTTACCCACAACATCTTTCAAGAAATCAAAAACATTAAACGTCTGTATGCATTGTTTTCTGTCAAATCAAAGAATGTGTAAGAAACTAATACGGTATATAACTGCAGAGGCAGATGATAAATGCAACTGTTTTCACGCTCATAGCACTTGGTGTGAGATGAAATAATAGAAAAGTTTCATTTCATTTATTGCAACAATATGATTAAACTTATGGTTGGAGCCTACAGGGCTTGAACCAACTGTAATGGTTTTCAATTGAACGTCAATATAGCACAAGCTAACAGATGGTACTTTAACGAGAAATAACAAACCAATGGTCATAGTCTTAATTAATTACATCCTAATTCCAAACTCCAAGAATGTATAAAAGTCAATAATTGATAGTTCACTTACAAGTGCAAAGAGTTCATTGTTTTGGCCCCCCTCTTCAGAGTAATCTCATATGTCCTGTCACATAAATCTTGAAGAAAAAGCTCCAATGCCTTTGCTGCAAGTTAAGACACAGGAGGCAGCAAGTAAACATCAACATAATCAACACACTAAAACGCATTCTAGAAACAACATTTTGGAGAAGAGCATAAAAATTACAAAATCCAAGGAAAAAAATTCTGAAGAATAATCCTAACATGAAGTAAGCTCCAACTATGGAATTATCACATTGCATGGTAGTTGGTTTGGTACTTACAGACTAAAAGAGGAACTGCCATAGCAATCTTCCCTACATCTTCATCAGCCTGCATAATCTTCTTAATCCGAGCCTGTAGATATTACATAACATTCAGGTTATCAAAACCATAGAGGGATGATCAGAATGCAGTTGCAAGGAGATACTCTAGAGGACTTTAGTCAATGAATCAGAAACAGATCAGAGAGTTTCAACTTTATCACAAAATCAAGAGGCACCCTGAAGAACTATTACATATCCACAGGAATAGAAACCTTTTACATAAGGCACAGTATAGAACTTGCTGAAGGTGACAGGAACAAATAATAGAAATTGTTTCTATAACTTTTATATTGATAGGACACTAAAAGGGTCCAGCAGCGTAAGAATAAAGCCAATCATTAAGCTAATCTAAATGTGATAAAATAAAACCTAACTATTACAAAACTCATCAAAGCCATAAATCAATTAATTGCTTGGCCTCATGCTGTATTGGTGTAGAACACAGTGTCTCATAAGAGTGAAAACCAAGCAATATAGGCTATAGATGCAGAACGGATATACAATATTTCTTCCCATGGTGTATTTCACTTATGCTTGTGTGTGTCTGTGTATGTGTACGGGGGACTGGGAGAGAGACCTGACCAACAATTGGTGTGAAACCAAAGATTCACTCAGAATGTCAACATGACATACACCTATGACTTGGTTGAATCAAAAGTTCACAATGTCACGCAGAATGGCCAGAACAGACATGCTTGTTATTGTTAATGATCATCACTAATGGTAGTCCCAAGATATTCCAAATAAATAAATAATCTCTATTAGTCTGCTTCAGCTATTTATTTTTCTACAACTTCTGAAAGGCATAGACATTATAGCAGCATGACAAACTCCTAAACCAATAACGAAAAAGCATATGCTTTCTAAGACATGTAACTGGTTTTTAACCAACTGAGAACTACACTCGGAGAAACATCTCGACTTGGGTGTTCTATAGGTGCAGTTTATGGAAACCAGATTTTTAGAACGGTTTTTAAAATTGTGTTATGTATGGCAGTATGGGTGCATTTAGTCCTACTACTCATGGACTATATTTTTAACTGTTCTTACTAAAACTTGGAAATATCTTCTCAAATTAAGTTGTTCTAAGAACAACTCAACCTGAAGCTACTATAAAAAAGCTCATTGTCCATATTTTAAACAAACCATCAATTTAAAGAACCAAGAAAAGAAAAATAAATAAATAACGCCAAAGATCAAGCTGTAAAACTAATTAGGTAAGTCTTCCATAAGCATGATTCCTCGAACCTGGTGGATATACTACAAGTAACCCACATCATTGTTCATAATAGAAATGCACCGAGAAACAATTCATAATCCGCGTTCAAGCAGTTCTCCATGTCTGTTACCTTGGATGAAACTATTCCTCCGAGTAAGAAACGTTTTAAACCGACGTCACTGTATATGTTTTGACATCCGAAACAGTGCGCAGAGTAAACTATATTAATGATAGCGGCCTCCAAAAAAATGCTTCCAGCACACATGAGACATGGTGACCTAATCAAGACTTCATCCTCAACAAGCGAACATATAATGAACATGCCCGAACAAAAAGTTGTAACCCAACCCCACCATGGCCAAACATGGAAAACAGTTGCTAACATACTGTTGCTAGGCGGCCCAATTACAAAAAGCAACAGAA